TGTATGTCTGCTCATTGGATGACAACACTTCTTAATTTTCTAAATACAGAGTTAATATATAAGTTAATACTCATATAAACATTTTTAAATGTTGGATCTTTGCATAATGTAGAGAAGCTGAATTCAGAAAAAAAAATATGGATATTATTTAAAAGGACATTATCTATATACAGCTCGTATTATACTCTTTCAAGACCTGCCGAAGGAAATAAAAAATCTGAGTTAATATGTCATTATAGAAATTGGTGTCTTACCTGAGTTGTCTTATTACATGACTAGGTAGAGAGATTTGGAAAAGTTTTAAATAGTTTTTACATTTGAAATGACATTGTCCACTTTGTATAATGACTATCAAACGGTTTTAAAGCCCTTTAAAAAACGCGTTTTCACATTCGTAGACAGTGAGTGAATGTTTTAAATATAACGACGTATTGACGTTCCTTTTTACAACATGAAACAAAATCCAGCAGTATTTTTGTTACAATGATACATGACTGTTTCAGTGACAATTCAACTATACTTATTGGCTAATTCACTGTACTAGTTTGATAAGCATATAAATTAAGGTTCATTTCTCCTTCAGTCGACGGTAAACATAATCGTTTCTATTTAGACAAAACTTATCTGGTGGAATTTGAAGAAATAATCTAGACAACTGAACAAAAATTTTAGATATTTTAACCAGAAAATTCCAGGCAAATATAGAAACATCTAATAACATCTGTGTCGTTTTATTAATTCTAGTTAGCTTCAACTCTTAAAAACAACTGGCCAGACGACGTCCAAACACACACGATCAGAACGATTCCAAGACATTAAATCTGACCCTAAGTATAGCTAATAAGAGTGCTAAAAAATAAATTGAAATAACCATCAGTCATATGCGCCACACAACTAGCTCTTTTCTTTCTCTAGGTACAGTGAAGTAACTATCAGTCATATATGTCACAGAAATAACTCTCTTCTTTGTCCAGACACAGTTAAGTAACCATCATTAATATATTTCACAGAACTAACTCTCTTCTTTCTTTAGACATAGTGAAATAACCATCAGTAATATATGTCACAGAACTATCCCTCTTCTTTCTCCAGACACAGTTAAGTAACCATCAGTAATATATTTCACAGAACTAACTCTCTTTCTTTAGACACAATTTAGTAACCATCAGTAATATATTTCACAGAACTATCTCTCTTCTTTCTCCAGACACAGTTAAGTAACCATCAGTAATATATTTCACAGAACTATCTCTCTTCTTTCTTCCGACACAGTTTAGTAACCATCAGTAATATATGTCACAGAACTATCTCTCTTCTTTCTTCAGACACAGTTTAGTAACCATCAGTAATATATTTCACAGAACTATCTCTCTTCTTTCTTCAGACACAGTGAAATAACCATCAGTAATATATGTCACAGAACTATCTCTCTTCTTTTTTCAGACACAGTCAAGTAACCATCAGTAATATATTTCACAGAACTAACTCTCTTCTTTCTTCAGACAGTTTAGTAACCATCAGTAATACATTTCGCAGAACTAACTCTCTTCTTTCTTCAGACACAGTGAAATAACCATCAGTAAT